TATACACTGTGAGAGATGAGTTTCTACCCATCAGCCAGTACATCTTTCTGTACTTCAGATTCAGTTCTTCCTGTTTCTTCTTGACGTGTGGTTTCCACCTGAGTTTTGTATCGAGGGTTATGCCTAGATATTTAGCTGTATTCTCATATGGTACAATCTTGTCATTGACAATTTATAACGTTATAAAAGCTTGTTCAACCGTCCGTAAACGTGCCATTTTTAAGCAGTTTTATACATATGGACGCTTTCATGAGCTTCCGACTAATCTTTTCAACATCAAAGCTGTCAAGTTTAACGTTTGATAAGTCAAAGTTGCTAAAATTGACATTTTATCAGCTTTTGACTCAACTACTTTACATAATAAAAGACGTCAACTTAAACGTCATTACAAATACCAATGTCAATGTTTCCTTCAAATCTCCGTTGAACTTTGATGCTTTCTCGCAACTTTATACTGGTTGATGATCTAATGATCTTTTGGCTAAACCTCTTAAATTAAAAGCTGTCAAGTTTAACGACGTTTTGCAATGTTTTTTCCGTTCAATTGTCAGTTGGACTTAATATTTTCAAGCACTTTTTGAAACATTGGCGCTTTGATGAACTTCTGACTTAACTTTTTACATAGAAACTGTCAACTTTAACGACGTTTTACAAAAGGTTCTTCAAATGCCTAACAAACGTGATGTTTTTAAGCAGTTGCATATACATTGACACTTTGATGAGCTTTTGACTTAACTCAACATAAAATCTGTTGACCTTAACGAAACTACAAATTCTTCTTCAAATGTCAGTTAAACTTGACGTGTTCTTCAATCGTTAAAGCTTTCAACTTTGACGTTTTGCAAAAAAAATGTTTTTTGACACTTTAACCTATAGAATCCATTGTACCATGGCACGTGATCCTTTACGTAGATGACATTTATCTCATTAGATAAACCTAATAGGAAGTCAACGTGTTTACTCTTAATGGGGCAACAATTGAAAGATAATCGACTATTCGACTATCTGTCGTAACTGATTAATGTCGTTTATTCCAGGATTAGAGTGTATCGGCGCCCTTATCGCTTCGAGCATAATAATGACTAAAAGAATGTCTGTAATTTTGGATTGGTCAATAATGTGTTGTTCGAAATCGCCCGCATTTACTTAAATCCCGGACCCAAACAGCCGGGTGCTGAATAATAAACTCTTATCTCACGGTAGGATATTATACACATATATATACCCAGGGTTAATTGGTGCAATTAACCTGAAAATCTTCACTTGTTACTGGTCTTTGTTGCTCAATTTGAAGATCCCACGCAGCTTTCTTTAATTAAAAAATGAATACATTGAACCACGATTGAAAATTCAAGGGTGTCGTTGACCTGATTCTGTTTGGTTGCAGGTCAATCGAGTCGCTTCTGACCGAGAAGAAAGCTGATCCCAACCTGATCCTCCCTAGCAAAGGAATATGCTCGTTGCACTTAGCTGTCGGCTGTCACTCGGAGGACTTCGCCTTGGGGATCGTGAGCCTAATGTTGCAAAATGGCGGCAACCCGAACGTCAAGTGAGTATATAGTCTATCTCATCCTTTTTCGCAGTGTCGCAATTATTGTTCTTTTTCTATGACTTATCAACCATAAAAATCAACCATGTAAATCACCGGGAACAATCTGTCACGCTTTCAATCACGCAACATGAAAGAAAATGTGTCAAATTGGTCATGAGTAAATGTCAATATGGCGTCTCAAATAATGACGTCACTGCCAAATAGCTTGAGACAACCTATATTTGATCAGAACTTTGTATTTGGCCATTTGTGGGTCAAACGTTCATTCATAAAGTTTATCGCACTCCAATTATTATACAATTAATGACATTTTCTGCTATCTCAACTGCAGCCGGTAACCGGTTTCAGCCAGAACCGTTCGATATTCCGCAGTTTACTATACTATGAACTGTGAAGGCGGTCAGTCGATAACTTGATAACGCGTCTGTACTCCGAGGGTTGGCATCAAAGTTGTTTTTCGTTTTTGGATTATTTTTAGTCACTTCACGGGTCGTAAATGGCATCACTTGACAAGCGACAAATGCAACATAATATGTTTTTGCAGTCTTCACAAGGCTTATCGGGTTGGCGGCGCCGTACACGAGACGATTTCAACCGAACGTACATGATAATCCTCCAAAATGACGTCAATATTCAAGTAAAACTAATCAGGAAAACAGGGGAATGTTCCAGAGAAATCGCGCGACTAATTGAGGAATAAAAGATCCGTTGACCCGCCTGTAGGTTCTGGATCATCCATTCGATCCAGATTTTCACTTTTTCACTCACCATTTTCATTTTGTCTCCTCAGATCGGATGATGATGGGCTGACGCCCGTACATGTTGCGACCATATGGGAGAGGACGAAGATTCTGGATTTGTTGTTGAGGAATGGGGGCGACCCGGAAATGCCAGACATGGATGGCAAGACGGCCTTTAAGTACGCAGTTGAGAACACATCAATTGAGTGTCTTTCACTCCTCACCGACTATTTGCCCAATAAGAGCGAGCTCATCCACCGGGACGAAAGTGACCGCTACTCTTTGGCTTTAGGTGAGCAGACTTGCAAATTTCTCTCTGCTAAAAGTGGTACATTCTTAAGCGTCTTGGTTGCGAAAACTACCGGAACTTTTATTTGGTCGGTGGAATTCACTTAACATTTTTGTGCTCTTTGTAACATGTAGCATCCGTAATTTTTGCGCAAAAAATATTTCCATTGCCAAGCCAGGAAAACCTTTAGCGGATTATCCGATTTTCCAGTTTTCTTCGTTACATACATTCCCCGGATTTTAATGTCCATGAACGGCTAATAAGCATATTTGGGGTCAATTTCACATGCTGCACGTTCTTATCAGGGATCCTTGGGCGCCATCCTTGGCGGCGATAACACTTTAGCGGAAAAAAACTGTTTTTCTAACGCTAATTACATTTTGATTGCTTGACCGTCTTAATCATTTCCAAGGGACAGAAAGATTGCGACTTAAAACCCAATGGACCTGAAGCAGAAGACGATAAACGACCCAATACCATTTATTTACCTGAAACAACCGGTCATCTGGGGTTTGAGTTCCGCGAAACCTTGGCACTTGTTAAAATCTGACCATGTGAAGACGAATTCAGTTTAGGCGAAAATTTAGGTCATAGATAAAGAGAAGTGGTGTTACTGGTACGAAAGCTATGTATAGCTATGAAAAAGAACAGGCGCGTCTCTGGATGTTGTGGCAGGAAGCGTCAAGTGAGTACGGATCAGAAAACTCCTTTTCTGGCTGCTCAGAGGAGTCTCTGGATAAAACACGCGTAGAACATAAATTTGGTAAGAATTATCCACATTGCTCAATTGAAATTAATTGATGGTCTAAATGGGGATTTTTATCAAAAATCTTGTTTTGATCGCGGACGCCAGACGACGTCGAACCTCGTTTATTCGGTCGATTGAAATAATCAATTTGATGGTTTTGCAAGAAGATAGTCTATCTGGTCAGTGACCCCGCAGTAGTCCAGGCCACGCCTTCAAATCCAATTTTTTGAACGAGATATGCTGACGACTCAGTCATCATTGCGCCAGGTAATTCATCAAACACTTCCAAACATATCGGAATGTCGATCTTCTGGTATAGTCAGAAAGCTACTATACGAATGAATGGGATCAGAACATGGACTCAGAAAGGGTTATGTTAGCGCATCGAGTTGCATGCATTTAATTGTGTGCGGTATTAGCAGAACATTAGGAACTCAATGGAAGCGCAGAAGAATAAACATGGACATGATCTGCAAATCCTGCTTAAGCAAACTGGAACTCTGAGTTAAGAGTGCAAGCGGAATTGAGATAGAAGCTGTAACGTTGCTTGAAACAACGTTCCTTCAGTTTTTCTGGTGACAAAAGCGTATTTAAACAAAATTAGTCGTAGGCGGACGTTCCTTCAAAACTTTAAGTTCAGGGAAACTGCACGAAACCTTTGAACGGTTTTCCATGGTGGTTGTTTTTGTCCGATTCAAAACTGATTGAAGAGCGTTGAAACTGTTGAAATTTTGAAGAGCGCAAGTGAAGAACTAACCACAAATGCGCTGACATATCTGTCATCATACATGAAATGTATGCATGCACGGTTGCCGTTGTGCGTTTTCCTTTTGGGGGCTACTATATAGATGTGATGTAAAATGAAACTTGCACACTTTGTAATTGCGCACCACGCCAACTTGACCTCTGTTGCCCAAAAACTGTGACAAAACATCCAGATGTGCACAGTGCAGGAAATCCGACTTAATAGTTGGTTTTGATTTCATCATTTGACCGTCTCGTAATGATGATCAGCAGTTGCATCATCTATCCACGGTTCGGTTTAGTCACGTTTGTTGGTAAACATTGCTCATGTCTCGGTCACGTCGATTTCAAGGCTGGCATTCCTGCTTGCAGGTCGCAATCGCCACGCCTATTGGGGTTAATGTTCAGCTCAAGTAAAATTAATTAAATTGAATTAAATGTCTATTAATATTTATAATATTTCGCAACCCCATGGTAGTTAGGTTCGGATCACGACCGCTCATTTGTTCTTAACGTGATTGTTGCTGATAAATCGGCGCCTAAAAAAATTATTTAGGCCATAAAACTCGGGAGGTCAACATGAGTTCATCTGTCGCAGCAAAATCACGTCGTTGCTGGCCTGTCACTTTTCCCATTGACGTTTCAAACCGCATCTGTCATATGGATATAGATGGAAGGCAAAAGCAAAGGCCACATTGACCATTATTAATTGAACGCGATTAATCTACTAATTGTCTTGGTTAATCGCGCTAATTAAATCGCCTCGCAACAATGAATCGATTTATTTACTATATTCATTACGAGCGATTTGTTTATCGACTATTTATAAATAGGACTTTAGTCCAACAGCCTGATAAGGCCAAGGATGTTGGGTTTAATGGGCTCGAATTCGTTTTTCCAGAGAAAATCCTCGTAAGCAATGGGGTTCAAATTGGCGAATACATGGAGGAACCGGCCAACACCAGTATTATTCAGCTAGCGGATCGCTTGCCGTCGCTGCCCCAAACGAACCCCACGGAGTACATTCTGAACTGGGTCAGCGAACAGAAACAACTGGCCAGCGACAGCAGCAGCAACAGCGACCTGATCGAAAGTATCGCCAGAAGCTTGGGTAGTGACTCGACTTTCGAGTGCTCCGACAATTCCTTAATGGAGTCCGATTGCGACGAGTCGAAGCGTTATGATGCGCGATTTATCAATTTTCGGAAGGTGAGTTGAATTGATACGAACGATCTCAGCTTTTCAGTTGCGCTTTCGTCAAGAGCGCAATTGACAATTTGACTGTCACTTCGCCACACTCAGAGCATGACTTTGACATGACAGTGACAGGTTGTTTAGAATCAAAACTGCATTGTCTGTCATTCATCATTGAGTGTCACCATTGAAATAAAGAGCCATTGCAACGATGCCAAGATCAACCGCGTCCTGAATCTTGGCATCCCGTTTGAAAAATCACAAATGGGGAAAGGCACTTGCGTCGCCGTTTTCGAAAGGTTTCATTGATTACTCAGATATTTTCAACCGTTTTTGAAATATCAGCTTTTAAACATCAGAAGCCCTTTGCAACCCAGCATTTTTTCTTCAAACTTCTGAAAACCAACAACGGGGAGACACTTGAGACGATGTTTTGGAAATGTTTCAATGATTATTCAAGTATTTTAAATTTAATCCTAAAGCCAAATTAACGGACACACATTTCACTATGGTCTATCTGCCATTTTTAGTATTTTTCCTAAAAATCTATTAGAACATTCACAGTTCACAGTTCAACAAACTTCTGATGTCAACATATATTCCCGTTTAATAAAACCTTCCTCACTTTCTACTTCAATGGAAAAACTAATTGACTCCAATTTGGCAGGTGTACAGAAAAAAGCGAAGTAAATCCAGCAGATGCCAGACGGCAAAGACCCCCAAAGGGCAGCCAAATCGGAACTCAGCATCCCCCACTGATCTGGACGATTCCCACTACACTGACGCCTATAGCATTTCGCAATTGAAGGAATATTCGGGGGAAAGTGGCGTGGTCACGATCCAGAGCTTGCTGGACTCGAACCAGTCCCGGAAGCTGAACAGCTCGAAAGAGCGGACAGCCGTCCATGAAAAGAACAGCGACTACTTCACGTGTTCCCATAACAGTATTATCTCGTTGGAGAAGAACATTTTCGAGATCACCGACGATCTGAGCGACATCAGATTGGACGTGATCGCGTCTGATCCGAAACAATCGGATACTGGAGCGAGCGAGACTAGTTTCGTCAGTGTGTCCGAAGTGTACAAGTATGTGGACATGGATGAAGATGTTGTGTTGTATGAAAAGCGACTTATGAAGGCTCCTAGGTAAGTTTGAAATTGAAGGATTTTCATATAAGAAACATCTTGACCTAAAAACACCATAAAACAGACTCTGCCCCACAAAAGACACACAAAAGCGAATTTCCCACTTTGCTAGTTCCTGAAGAAATAAATGCCAAACTCCGGCCTGCCGGTCTTTTCTTTAGGTATTCTCCAAGTTCAACTCCTCCGCTTGGGCCATAACGATTGTATCATCTGCAAAGAGTCGTGTACTGTCCTTGGACTATAATAATGTTCTTCACTTTCATTATAAATAAATAAAATCTGATTTGTCTTTGCAGTGAATTCACCAAAAGTGCAAGTTCGAACGTGTCATCGACATTGTCCTCGTTGCCGCCGAATTTCGACTACGATGCCAAAATGCTTAAGAAGGAGTTGATTGTGTTGGGGTACGAACCCGGCCCGATAACCTCCACCACTAAACGGGTCTACTTGAAGAAGCTGCACCATATGAGGAAAAACCCCTCATCTGAACTGCGACTGAGTGGACCTCAAAACAATAAAAGAGGCAAGTACACTACTTGAGTGCCAATCTTGATGGACATCCGCCTTCAAGCTTTTTCTAACTGACGTTTTTGTCATCGTCTACTCTAGATTTTTTTATCATGTTTTTTACAATTGTCCAAAGATTCCGCTTGCTCAAGCAGGTCAACCAGCGTGAGTGTTTTCTTATGGGCCACTCGTCATCTAACATCAATTCCGTTTTTCAGTTTACTCCCTGGAATTGGAGAAAACGATGAAAAACATGAACTGGTCCGACGACGCGGCGCTGAAGCGTCTAGAAGAAGACGTGGTGCGGCAGTTCCACAGCTCCGCACCGACGATAAAATGGCGAGAAGGCACCAACAAATCCAACTTCACCTACCTGCTGTTGGATCCGCGCATCACCAACAACCTGCCCGACAGAGCCGGCACTCTATCACCTTTAGATCAGTGGCAAACGTTTCTATCTGCCATCTTCTACGTGGGCAAGGGCAAAAGATCGCGCCCCTACCAGCACCTCTACGACGCAGTGAACCTGTGGAAGAAGGGACAGCTGGAGACCACCAATCGCAAGCTGCAGCGCATCATTGACGTGTGGAAGGGCGATTGCGGCGTCGTTTGCCTCCATGTGTTCCAGAATGTGATCCCAGTGGAAGCCTACACAAGGGAGGCGGCCATGATCAGCGCCCTCAAGCTGGAGAACTTGACCAACATCAAATCGGGCGAGTTTTACGGGGTGGCGGCCTCGTGGCCTAACCGCCAAAAGAAGCTGTTTGGTGCCTATTTGTTGTACAAATCCATGATGATTCTGCTGCATGAGGGCGAACGACAATTGTGTCCCATGGACATTAACTAAAGTGCAATATGACAAGGCGAATGTTTCATCGACCAAAGCCGGGAGCAAAGCTGTTTGATCTAGGAATATATTTATATTCTTGTACTTTTGACTTTGATTTCTTCGCTCATTTTTTTCGAGCGCTTTCAATGCGTTTCCCCAAAGGTCCTCACGACTCAAATGAACACCAAACATCCTTATTTCGCTACTTAAAGGAAATAAAACAGTACGTAGTCCAGCAGCTCTTTTAATTAGCTTCCTGGAAATTCTGTTTCAAAGCCCTTCCCAAAATGAAACTAGCTAAGTAAGTTCTCCAGTGTTTGTGTTCAATCACTCGTATATTTCGCAGCTTCACTTCATTTTTATATTTTCCAAGCACTTCAATGCCAGTTAAACAGGCAGTTACTGGGGGCTTATCAATCGTCAAACAATTGTTAGGCAAACATGTTTTTTTGCCTGCTGCAAATAAAATAAGTCATTTGATTCTCACGACTCAAATGAACACAGCAACTCATCATTTTTTGCTAATAAAAAGCAAACAAAACATCACTCTATATCTCCTTAGGTATGTGTACGTAGATAAGAGCGAGATTTACCTAGTTTTCCAAGTACCGATTGTTTTTTTATCGTCCAAGTACTGTTTTATGTATAAAGGCCATGAAAAAACAGTCCGATTTGCACTGCGCTTTAGTTCATTATTATGAAAAGTCTGACTCTCCTAATTTCATTCGGCTTGATACAACAAGTTTGGGGGCTGGATAATGGACTTGCCCTAACGCCGCCAATGGGGTGGCTGAGCTGGGAGCGATTTCGGTGTCTCGTCGATTGCGACTTGTATCCAGATGAATGCATTAGGTAGGTGTTGGAAAATGCTCTTTGGGGCCCTCCACTGGAGCTTGGCTCCCTCAGCTAAGACAATTTCCAGCGAAGCCCTATTCAAGCGAACGGCCGACCGATTGGCCAGCGACGGCTACTTGGAGGCTGGATACGAGTACATTATCATCGATGATTGCTGGGCGGATAAGCAACGAGATGCCGACAATCGGCTACGGGCTGATCCAGATCGATTTCCAAACGGAATTGCGCCTCTGGCAGAATATGTAAGTCTCGAGCAAGTGAAACTGTTAGTTGTCTTTAGCAGAAGTCATCCATAATAATCTGCTTTGAAAGAGGAAAAAACCTTCTAAAGTAGACACCAGTTTCCTTCCTTAAGCTTCTACAGAAGATTTTCTGTAGATCATCCATAGGCCTTCATCAGGCAGAAGATACTGGCAGTTAAATCCTTTCAGGTGCACAATTTGGGTCTAAAAATGGGCATCTATGGAGATTATGGTACGCTAACATGTGGAGGGTATCCTGGAAGTATTGACCACTTGCAACTGGATGCTGAAACATTTGCGGAATGGGGCATCGACTATTTGAAACTCGATGGATGCTACGCATCGACCGCCGGAATGGAAGAAGGTGAAAAATCGAGTCAGTTTTTGCGTTTTACTCTAAACCCACTTTGCAGGCTACGCCAAAATGTCCAGGTATTTGAACGAAACTGGACGCCCCATTGTGTTCTCCTGCAGCTTTCCTGCTTACGAACAGTTGGATGTAGGTCTTAAAAAACCGCTCAAAAGCACGCAAATTTTCTCTAATGTCTTTGTTGCAGACGAATTACTCCAGAGCAGTGGACATTTGCAACCTTTGGAGAAACTACGACGATATTGACGATTCCTGGGAATCCGTAAGCGATATTTTCCAGTGGTTCAGCGACAATCAGGACTATTTGAGGCAGTTTGCCGGTCCTGGGCACTGGAACGATCCAGACATGGTATTCTTTTGCCACTGTCCCAGTCCTTTGAAAATCTCACTTTTGTGCCATTTTTAGTTGATAATCGGGAACTTTGGGCTCAGCCTGGAGCAGTCCAAAGCGCAAATGACCATCTGGTCCATAATGGCGGCGCCTTTGATCATGTCCGTGGACCTGGACACGGTTAAACCCCGATTTAAGAACATTCTGCTCAACAGGAATGCGATCAGGATCAATCAGGACCCATTGGGGATTCCTGGAGAACTGGTGTCTAACGTAAGTGCTCAAAATAGGAGAATCTTATTTGAGTTCTCCCTATAGATTAGTGACATTCTGCTGTGGAGGAAGTCCTTGAGTGGAAACGGGGTGGCTTTGGGCGTGGTCAGCACCCGAGTAGACGGTTACCCCTATCGCTACGAGATTCCTTTAATAGATTTTCTGGACGGTGACAGAGAATACCATATAGTGGTAAATGAAATTAGCTAGAAAATGCTGGCGGAAATGCATTTGGTTGCGCTTTTAGGACGTTTTTGCGGATATTGATGGCCAAAAACGCAGTGTGCATTTGGGGAGTGTCAATATTACGGTTCGAGTGCCCCCAACAGGTACCCCTGATGAAAATATTGCATTGGGTTCTCAATAGCTTGATTTCGTTACAGGTGCGGTTCTCTTGCTGATTACACCCGTGGAGCTAATGAATTGACCGACTTGTCTACAAGCATAATTTGAAGACTTTTTACCAGCAAATGAATAACAACCCTGCCGGCCACTAGCTAAATGTATTTTCGCACTTTAACTGAGGCCAGTATCTTTATTGCTGTAATATAAAACATGCACACATCGACACATTTTTTTGAGTCACACATCATTACGAACATTTTATGTGTGTTTTTGTTGTGTATACTTGTATAAAAATCGACGGGTGCAAGCGTGATTTTTCGAAAAACTTTTGCCTGCATTTATCGAAGTTTGAACGAAAGTAATCATTTCAAATCAAACTCAAGAGATCTTTTCTGTCTGACATTCAACAAGCAATAAAGAAATCAAATCAATTGTTTGCTAAATCAGTGGCGTAGCATTGTTTTTTCTTCAAAAATATTGAATGTTGCGTCAGTAGGCACGCGACTGGCGGACAATCCTCTCTTAAAGCGTGTGACAGTACTGTTAAATCACCCTGTATATTGTCAGTTAGTATCCTTCTTGTTGTAATATAATTATATAATTGTAATTAACAGTTAAACGATCCTCAGACAGTGAAAGTCAGCGCAGAACATTCATGTACAACCGACAAAGTTCTGCTTGTAGGCCTGCAAGCCGTCACATACTTGTGGCAATTGGGCCTACTATACTATATAATTGTTCGGTGAATTAAGAAATAAATGCCTGTTTTCAGGTTGAAATGGTAAACAGGGCGTCAACTCTTCTTGATAAATGCCGATGATTCGATAGTAGGCTTTAAACGCGAACTTGCCGGGAAAACGGTTGGCCTATAAGTAACATTTCTTGACTACAAAATCTGCCTTTTCTTTAAGCTCTTAAATAACCAAACTATGCATACAATTAATGCCTATCAACATCAAAGCTTGGAGCGTCTATTTAGCCACGTATGGACATGACGCAACCAGTGTGTTGACCGGTTACTGATACCAAGATCAAGAAGTCATTTGCACTTGAAAGCAACAACGCCGACTTGTTGGCTGTAGTTTATGTAGTTTAACGTAGATTTTGATGCATTTTTAGCGAATAGCGGTAAGCAGACTGGCAGACTGAGTGGTAAGTTTGCGCTTCGAGTTCCCGAATGCACAAACTATGTTCTTGAATGCCATGCCATTCTTGCCGCAACCGCAAATGTCCTATCTGGTCAGGCTTGAATAATTCATCGAACTAATCTAGGCCTACTTTAGGCTTGAGCAAGCAGAATCAAGGATCGGTGGACTTGCAAATGATCACCGCTTTATGTATTCGGGCTGAAGCTTTGATTGCAATTGGGTCCAAAATGGGAACCGCCTGGGCAATTTTCGCTGTACTTTTGGTATCAGTAGCACATATCCAGGCCCTGGACAACGGCCTGGCTCTAACTCCACCCATGGGCTGGATGCACTGGCAAAGATTCCGATGCGTCACTGACTGCCACGCTTACCCCAATGACTGCATCAGGTAAGATTTGACTTCTTGGGCTCCCAAAAAGATCCCATTCTTAATGGTTTTTTATAGTGAGCAATTATTTCGCGATATGGCCGATCATATGGTGGCCGATGGGTTCAAGAGCGCCGGTTATGAGTATGTGATTATCGACGATTGCTGGGCAAGCAAAGAGCGCGACAATAACAGCCGGCTTCAGCCCGATCCTCTACGATTTCCCAGTGGAATCAAAGCTCTATCAGATTATGTAAGTTTTATACCCCGACTAGAACGATGGTGCAAATTGTCCTGTCCCAACTACGGCCAATGGACGCTTAAAAACAGCGCTGTATCCATGGGAACCTAGTGGCATTTACAAAGGAATGGAGTCGGGACCGGTCTGCTTGCACCATTGGAAGGTTTCTAATGCAAAACTGTTTTTGGTAGGTTCATGCAAAAGGGTTGAAATTCGGCATTTACGCAGACTATGGGACTAAAACGTGCGCAGGTTATCCGGGCAGTATTGAGTACCTGAAATTGGATGCTCAAACTTTTGCCGACTGGGGTGTGGATTACTTAAAATTGGACGGTTGCCATTCGGATGTTTTATCCATGGAAGCAGGTAATTTTGCTAGATTTTTGTAGCGGCTTTCATATTATGTTGTTCCGCGTGCATCCAAAATATGCACTATACAGCGTCTGCCAATTTTATAAATTGCTTACATTTTTACGTTTCCTTGTTTTTGCTTTTATCTCGTAGGTTAGCCATTGCTAATGATCGCAAGAGCTATCGAAAAGGTTCTTATGACTAATCTGATATTGTCAACAGTTTCTGAGATATAGGGTGTTGCAAGCGTCAAGAGCCTTCAGACTTCACACTTTTGCTTCTACCTCTTTGGAGGTCAGAAATTCCTGATTAAATCCACTAGATGAATCATAGTTCTCGAGAAGGGCTATTAAAAAGGTCATATTGACTGATCCGATATTCCCAACCTTTTCGGAGATATGACCCTTTCTAACTTCAAATGTTAATTACAACCCAAACTCTCTTCTCCTCAGAGTTTAACGCTGTTCTCATTTAAATAGGCAAATACAGTTTGTAGTTTTCGCTTCAAAATAATGAATTCTTCGTGCTTAATACAAGAAATTATCTGAAGCTAATCCATCACTCAATAGCTGATTTCATGGTTGTCAGCATGGTCCCAATGTTTGCACAAATAATGGAAATTTTCGGAATGCGATAAGCAACAAGTGCCATTAATTATCTGCGAACATTAAGTACTTATTTAGAGTGGTAAATATGTACTTGAGCATACTTGAGAAGTTGATGCGTTTCAGGTCCTTAAAATCCACATGAAACTATCCAAACGTCTTAAGTTTCCAATGAGGAATTTTGGGTTTCAATTGATTATGAGTGCATTTATTAATGCTTTTGATCTGGAATTGGAACATTCCGGCGCGAAAAAATCGCTCTACAGATTACGCAACAACGAACACATTTCTAACTCAAAAACCACAAAGCTTATAAACTTTTTACAATTTCTACAGAGTATTAAAGATACATCGGCCAGTTAACAAAACTTCAGTAAGTTTTAAAACTGCGCGGATTTCATCAGATCATGCCCAGATAGCACACAAATATTGCAGTAATATTTTTTTGCAATATTTAATATAGGTTGAAGCGACAGATTCTTGA